CAGTGCTTCATTTAATTATTTATTATTATAGAAAACATCCTCAGGAAATCAAGAAATGCAAGTTTCTTACAAGGTAATTTAGGGAGCCAAGAACTACTGATAACTCCCTCAGCCCTGGATAACTAACTACTTTGAGAGAAGAAGCACATTCATTTAAGAGGGAGCAAAAGCTGAGATTCAGCCACCGCTCAGAGAAGTTTAGATATACATCCCGTGATGTAAGACAATCTCTCAATAAGTAAATAAGCCATTTTGGTTATATGGCTTGATTCTATAGGTCACTGCTAAGAAAACCCTGCCCAGTGCCCAAGGCTCATCTCTGTTCTTTTTGAGCCCTGAGTTATCTCAAACTCCTATTGTTACTAGCGTGTGAGTCTGAGGACTGTTATGAGGGGCAATGCCTTACCATCAGTTGGGCAACAGACTATAGAGCTTGTGGCATTACTCTTCCTATAGCCTCTTGATAGTACTAACGCACCCATATAGCTGTGGATCAGAATCTACTATAGATCTTCATGTCCGAATGGCAACTCTATTTGAGTATGCATATACTCTTGCATACAAAGGAGCACAACTTTTACTCAGTTAAAAAAAAAGATACATGACAACTGCTTAGTCCTGCTCACAGTTAACACCCATTTCAAAAGGGTTTCCCTTTTGTTCAAATAGCACTTAGGGAAACAATTCATAGGACGAGTTTAATTGATGCTTATTGTCACTGTTGCTACTATCCCTTTGATAGCGTAAAAGGAAAATGTGAAATATACTTAGTGTGCACGAAACCATATGCTGGAAGGAAATATTAAACATTATAATTTGGTTGCAAGCTTTGTGTTCATCTAAGAAAAGCACCAGAGAAATGTTCACAGTATCTAAACTCACGCTAGGTGAGCTTACTGTCCCAGAAAATAACACAATAGTGGGTCACAGAACAGTAGGAAAAGCAGAACAAGGGGGTTTGGGGAGTGGCAGCTTCTTGGCTGATTTAAAAAGCAATCAAAACAATCATGTTACGTTTATAAAAATGATACATCTATATATAGAGAACTTGGGAAGATTTTTTGTCCCATAAACTTGGTAATTTCTAGTCCAGAAATTATGGTTCCCATAGTAAAATACTCTTATTGTATTGCTTTGCATGAAAAGAAAGAGTAAACCTTGCAGCCTCTAGACTACATATGAATACAAAGCACAAGAATAAATACCACATTTCTTTTCTAAATGTCAGATTACAAAACTGCTCAATACTTTGCAATTGTGACTCATGCAAATACTATGTTGGGTCAAATTTTAATATTACAAATACTGCATCAACTCAGTGCCTTTTTATATCCCTTTTCATAAAAAAGAAATTCTCACTCACCCCTATAGCTGGCAAACAGCTTTGGAGAAAATAATCTGTACACCCACTTTTCTTGATCATTCTAGTAGTTCAGCCTCACACACACACACGCACGCGTGCACGCACACAACCAGACACACAACAATCCTTTGTCACCAATTCCAAGCCTATGCATTAACTAAAGGTTCTATATTTTGCCTTTAGCTCTGAAAACACTGGTTGAACAGCAAAAACAATCCTTTATTTTTCATTTCTTGTGTGTGCTCCCTCCCTCTCTCTCCCTCACTCCCTATTACCTTCTTCACCTTTTCGTTTCCTGGAAATATAAATCGTTCCCATAGCATTCTACATTAACTCCTAGGCCTTCCATATTGTATAAATATAGTTAAAGACACAACTAGTTTTGCTCTTTGCTTCAAACCTCTTTGTGTGCTAGAGACTGGCTTGACTCAGTTATTGTCTTGGTAAAAAGTAAATGTCATTTTTGTGTGTGTGCATTCCTCCTTATATTTCTGCCTCAAGTTAACTGGTTAATTTAATAAGATTTTGCACATATGGCCCTGCCCCCTTCTCACAAAATCAATGTCACCCACTAAAAACATTACATTTAGAAACAGTTATGTAAATATGCTCTGAGAAACTGAAGAGCAGTTGCTATTGCAAGCACACAGGGTCCTACAGCTAAGGTAATCTATTTGGCTTTGTTTTGACCTTTAGTTCTCTCCTAAACTATGACAGATTGTGTTTGCAACAGAAGGGGATATTTTATTAAGTATGCAGATTGCAAAAATATGGATTGTACCTTTGCAATAACAGCATCCTTTTTTTTTCTTTTAAATGATAAATTAAGAGAAAAGGAAAAGAAACCTTCAAACCACAAAAATAAGAGGAAAAAAAGATTCTTTGTATCTTATGGCTGTCTAAAGTACACCAAAATAATGTCAATGTCTTTAATGCAGCAAGGGGGTGGTGATGAAGAATGCAGATAAGTCTGCAGGAAGATGGATGACAGGTAGGTGATGCTACTATGAGGCACCCTCTTGTGGCAGGTTTGTAGAGGCCAAACTCTCTGAGTGTTGCAAAGCAGGGCAGGGAATTCAGTTAGAAGGAAGCATGTGTGTCTGCCCTGCTCTGAGTTTTGCCCACTCGTTTCATCTCCATGCTGACCTATTGCAATGGGCCTCTGTCAATGGTGATGACATCCTCATTCTTCCTTGGAAGGTTCCACGCCTAGCATCCTTCGAAATGGTTTGTCCTTTCTGGGGTGTTGTATTTGGTGAGTGGGTTTGCCTGTTTGTTCAGGGTGCCTGGAAATGGATCATTCCTGTTTCCAGGAGCATTACTGAGTCTGTCCTATCTTTAATAAATATTGAATTAAAATGCTGCTGCTTTTTAGTTGATTTAACTGATTTTTTTTTTGGTTTCTCCATCCCAATCCGCCTTCAAGTTGCACAGGGATTATTCATTTTCTTCTCGGTTGGCATATATTCCAGCCTCCCAACGAAGTGCTAGGGCGCTCTTCCTGCGATTCACCCTGGTAGCCTCAAGGACCTGGAAAGGAAACAAAAATACCATTTTGTTTATTTGCCCTTCTCTGATGCTCCCTGTTGCTCATCCCATCTCCTTTGCAGAAACTTGCACATACACACAAAGCTGGACTATGGAACCCTTATGCACAGAGGCAGGCACTGTTGAGCTACTCCTGTAATTAAGCAGATGCTAGGGTAAAAGTAAGGATTACACAATCAAACCTGTATATACAGCAGCATTAACTTAGGTGTAAATCTGCAGGCCTGAGTGAAGATGCTACATCTTCCACATCCAAATTTAACCAAGGGGCAGCAGGGAGAGGCAGAATGGTTATGAAGGACTCATTCTCATTGTATGTGGAATTTGTAGTCTAGAAACAAGTCAAAGATAACATCTGGCTTTTTCCAAGGGATGCCTTGAGTCTACAAAGATTGAGAACCAGTGGCTTAGTGTTATTCACCATGTGGCCTGTTTATATTGGGGCAGCTTTGCCTGAAAATGGACTTCTGGATCCAGGCCTATGCTATTTTACTATGAGGGAATACCCCAAATGAAAATGACATGACATCAAGAATTAAGAGTAGCATAAATCAAAGAAATGCTATAAGAACCAAGGACCATGGAACTGTTTGATGTAAACACAAATGATTTACTGACGACCATTTTATTGTTAAATATTTGATAAGATTTTCATAAGTGAAGTGCCTTTTAACTAACTGCCATGTTCAAAGTCTCTGAAGAAGAGGCCTTTTAATTTACTGAAGAGGATAGTTCATCAGACATAAACCAGTGGGATTAATGCTGTCTAGGTGGAATCACAGAGGCTGCTTGCAGACATTTAAAAAAAAAAGAAAAGAGAAAAAAGCAGTATTTTACTTTAAACTTGCCCACAAGAGGCAGTGCATTAGTTGGATGTGGCTCACCCGATATCTGTATAGATTGGATGCTTTAGTGGGGCTTTTTTGGTGCTTTTATCTAATAGCTGATTGAATCCACTTCAGATATAAGTGCAAAAAAGCCCCACTGAAGCGCCCATTCTATACAGACAGCTGCAAGCAGCCAGAGTACTTATCCCATAGTATTAAGCTCATCATTTAAGAAGCCACTGGCCTGCATTAGGAACAGCTCAATTTTCCTAGAAACTTGTGTCAAATAGACAGCAAAATGGGCTCAAGACTAGTCCTTGGTCAAATATTATAGTGAATCTAAACAGGTTTTATTTTTATGGACTTTGCTCAGAATGTGCAAGACCTATTCCATAAATAGCTGCACAGATAACCCCTGGGATTTGGGTACATGCACAGCAATACACTGAAGTAAATGGAGCTAATCCATTTAGGTAAGGTTGTCAGAATCTGGCTCATGGCTTTCAAAGAACCCTTAAATGCCAGCCTGCGTCCTTAGTAGTAGAACATAAGATTCCCACTGAGCACAAACAGCAAAGGTCAAGGACTGGAGCTAACAAGCAGGAGCTGCATTCTTTATGCAGCATATCCTGATATATGCCCTTCAGGTGATGACCTTCATATGCGCTGAAGTGTCCTGAACAGGTCAGGACTATTCATGAAGTAGAGTGCTATTCAGTGCAGGTTAGAGTAATGGAACTTGGCCCTCTACTCTCAGGTATACCCATGGAGCCCTGCAGGAGACGAGGTATAGTTGACAGCAGAATTAGCTTCGTCTTTACATTCTGGCTGGGAGCTTCAAAGTGACCAATGGACATGTAAAATGTCTGCACTGAAAAACCTTAGTAGGAACAATTTGCTATTACTGCTCTCTGGATTTTATCACTTGTTTGGAATGGCTCCAAAAATTGGCACATGGCCTTACCAGAGATTATAGAGTGAATGATTCTCTCAGGCTTAAGTGCATAACAGCTCTGGAGAGGAGTGGAAAGATCATGCCAATGAAAATAGCAAGATGATGCAAAAATATTTTATTTGGAAAAAGCAATTTAATTGCAAGTCAAAATAAAAGAATTCAGAGTGGAACAACGTCAGAAGGACAGACAAGTATACAAAAAATACCTGGAATTGATTTTATAAAAAAATTGTCCTTTATGTCTCTTGCTAGATAGATGACAGAGTTTCAGCTCAAGAGATATTGTAAGGAGTTACAGAAGGCTGTTTCATGTCATTACGCCCCCTTTAATATATCACTTGTCAGAATAAAATATGACAGAATGGTTAAGCTCAAGATTTATTTACCTGTTCCATAGTGACAGGTAGAGGGAGAAATCTACTGGAAAGACAGCAATAACAATAGCACCAACAGCTGATAAAAGCTTGTAGGGGCATGCTTCAGTAAAAAAGGACAGTCACCCCAAAGCACATTTTGCTGAGTGAAACTGCCAAGCCTCGTGTATCCCTAGTTCATTTCAGTCAGTAGCACAGAATATTGCTGTGTAGATTCCTCATGTTCTTTGGATGGTACTGACATGGACAGGCCAGAATTAAAACACAGATAATGCAAAGACACACACAAGCAGAGAGAGAGACAGAAGTGAGAATTCTTGCTCCAACTGAAGTTAGTGGAAAAATTTCCATGAATGTCAACGGGGCCAAATTTTCACCCACGGCCAGATTCTATTCCACCTATTAGGCATCAACATGGACTTAGGCACCTAAGTGCAATTCTATTCTATTCTGTTTAAGTCCCTAAAAAAACATTAATGCATAAGGTGGGTGGGTCCTCCTTTCCTCCTTGATGCTTTTTTGTGATTCAGTCTTAAGGGTAAGACAGCGCTATGTTACAAAAGTAGAATGATTAACAAATTTTTAGGGACTTGAGCAAAGTGGAACAGAATTGCACTTTGATGTCTAAGTCCACTTAGATGCTAAATAGGTGGATGAGGGTCTAACCCTCTGGTTACTTACACACATGTGGGGAGCCTGCTTTGACACACTGGAAATCCAGCGTGTTGGAGCAGACTTGCTGGAGCATGTAAATTGATGCACTCTGGCAGCCTCGCGCGTTAAATGCATCAGTGGTGTAGCGTGCCTCCACACTGAGAAAGTGGTGGCAGTGTGGTTGGAAATAAAATATGTTTGATGTGTTTTAGTTCAAAGAGTATCGCCGCCATTTTCTCAGCATGGAGGCACTGCTGATACATGATGTGTGTGCTTTTCGTTAGTTTAGCTTGCTAATTAAAAGCGCCTGGTGCTGCATCAGAAGCACATGTAAAAATACCCTCTGCATCTAAATTGAGTTGCAGTTGATGAGAAAATTGATTATCCTGCAGCCTTTCAAATATGCATAAGAACCTAGACTCAACAAGGAAGAGCAATTCCACAGGTGTGGGAGGTGTCATAAAATAATTTTAAAGCCTGCCCCTCTTCCCCCGCCCCCAGCAGCATATACAGGTCCTGCTTTACCACATTTTCTGGAATGGTCCAACACTAAATACTGGGAGCCTCCTAAATATTGCAAACAAGAGGAGTGAACAGCCTACTGTGATGGTAATCACCACTTGTTTGTCCATTTTTAAATCCTAATGCTTGTATTTAGATATGTTGGGCTTGAATTTTAAAGCATGGCCTTTCTTTTTAGTTAAATAATTAGAAGCACACAAACACATGCAAACAAGATTATTGCTCATTAACTCATTAATTGTTAAAATTAATAAGTGGAGTCCTACTGAGGTCTGAGATGGTCAGTTTTAGTAATGGTACACACAGCTATCTATGTGCACGTGAAACTTCTGCATAAGTGAAACATACACCAAACTGTCAGAAAAATGCACAAAAGACAATGTCTACTCTTGAAAAGTTGGCTATGGCTGCCCCAAAACAGGAAATTTAGTTCTTGGCTTTTGGCCAGACAATCACACAACTGTACACAGCAAACAGTGCTTTCTATTCCTCAATATGAAGGCCTTTTATTTACCAGTCGCACTTACTGCTAAATCCTGCTTCTACAGAATATCCACATGTTGTTGGAGGCCCATTGATGGTTGAAACCCTTAGACTGTAAACAGATCTCTTAATCAAGGCAGTTCTGATTGCCCCAGGTTTTAATTTGGATTAAAACAGGAGTGGCAGGATTGAAACAAGAGGCCCTTCCGAACGAGCCCTTCCATGCTGCATTGTGGTTATTTTGTCAGTAGGTGACGAGACAGAGCACCCAGCATGGTAGGCTTGTCTCTGGAATGAGCCACAAGTAAGTTATTATATTTACTCATATCCAAGATGGAGATTTTTTTCCCCTTTCAGCATGGGATGGTCTTGGATTCAAGTAAAAAGGGGGCAGGGGAGGAAAGCCTGCAGCTGTGGCTCCAGCTTTGCCTCCCCCGCTACCTGTGCCAGTTCCCCTGTTGTCTCTGCCCCCCACCATCTTCCCCCCATCTGGCCCCCTGCTACATCTGCCTCCCTCCTATCCTGGCCTTTGCTGTCTCCCCCTCACCACCCCACCTCCTCCCACCACAGCTCCAGCTCCAGAGCACATGGTTGCTCTGGTCCCAGCACAGCCACGCAACAGCAGTGGTGGTGGTGGCAGCTATAGCTCCAGGGCCAGGACTGGGGTTGGGGCCAGAGCTGACACTGCCACAGCTGCTGCAGCTTGGTTGGGTTGGGGCCAGAGTAACCATGTGCTCTGTGCCCAGGGCTAGAGTGGGCCCAGAACTGCACTGGAGGATAAGTGGTAGAGGGCAGGGGGAAGGACAGACATCGTGGGGGCAGGGAGGGAGGCATGTGCCAGGGTGGGCAAAGGTGCTGGGAGGGCAGATGCCTCATGGGAGGGGGGCAAGGTGAAGGGGGAGGATGCAGGTGGCACGGAGGCTGGCGGTAGGCCACACAGGCACTGGGGTGGGGACAACAGGTGGCAGGGGGTGCAAGTGGTGATGGGAACAGACAGTAGGGAGCAAGGGAAAGGAGTCAGGGGGACAAATTTAAGATGTCCCTCTAATCGTTAGATTCTGGACATGGAAAATTATAGCAAATTTATAAATTTTCCATCTATAGAATCTAATTATTGGGGGGGCGTCTTAAATTCAAAAAGTCATCTTGGATTCAGTAAATACAGTA